ATCAATTACTCAACAAAACCATTACTAGAATTAATCATCCCAACGACAACAACAACACCACCATCACCACCACCAAAAATAAAATCGATGTTTCATTTGCCATTAAGCAGCATAGTTAGCACAGACTTCAGAACAGCTATTATTAGTCAGTTCAAAAGCAAGCCTCAACACCAACAGTGTCTTTAGCTGGCAAATATTAAAATTACGCTAAAGTTAACCCTTTTTTGTTGTTCCAACAAAAACAATACACTAAATACCTAAGCTTTTTCAGTACTTACTGACAGCTATCCACAGACATCCAAATTGAACTTCAAAAGAAAATCAACGCCAACAGGACAGATAAAGTAACAGCAGTTGCAGCAAACAGTTGGGAAATATATATGGAGTGCAGATAGTAAACTGATAATAATAATAATAATATTATTATTATTATTAATAGTGATATTGATAATAATAATAATAATAATAATAATAATAATAATAACAAACCAATTTTCGTTTAATTATATCCAGTTCGTGTGGTACAGTTTTTGAATACACTTGACACTGTAAATTATGCACCTAAAACTTGAAGCTTTCAGAACAAAGATTGTAATCAGAAGAAGAAGAAAAAGCATAGCATTTTACAGTATATAATAATTGCAATAAGAGAACCATAACCTTTAGTTTTACCATTATGTTGCCACTAATAATCTTAATAACTTATCTAACTTCATTTTCTGACGTAAAAAAAATATAAGTGGGCAAATTGGACAAACGAAACATTGTCAGCAGCTTATTGTTCATTATCAGTTCTGTTTCTGCGATAGCAATAGTTAACACAAAAATTCGTTTAGCTTTTTGTTAAAATTTTGTATAATTTGTGCAAATATAAAAATCAAATCATCGTCAGCAGAAAAATTAAACTAATTTAATCAAACAATTTTTCTTCTTTTTGGTAATGCAGTAATTGCTAAACTAAAGTTGTTAAAATGTAAAGCAGAGCTTACTTGAAGTGTTAAATGTTGAGCAACTTTCTGTAACTCTATTTCAGACGCCTGAGAATCATAAAGTTCCAATTTTAGTTGTGCTATATCCGCCTGTAAAATTTGAATGCTAACTGAAAAATTCATTGCTAATTTAAAAGGGTGAAACAATAAAAAAAAGAAGTTTATCCGATTTACTGTCGGAATGAACAGTCATGGCTTAACCGTCGAACTCAACCTCCAAAATGTTGGTTGCAATTTTTTTTTGGACATTTTTTACACAGCTCTCCTTATTCGCCACCTTATCGTCTTTCAACATCCATCTCCCAAATTTTGGCTTATCTTCCCGTAAAAGTTACTTCTTACCTCTTGTCGAGCGTTACATTCAAATATCGTTTGAGCCTTATGTACCAACTGAGCGAACACACCACTTAGTGCTGCCATTTTGCGTCGACTTTCAAAGGTTAAGTCCGCCTATAAATTTCTTACAGTAAACAGATCTTATATTTCACTACCAATGTTTTATTACTTATCTTTTTCACCCACACAGGTATAATCTCATGTTTGGTTTCAGAAAGACTAGTATAAAATTCCAGATATATTAAACTTTTTTCAGTACGATAACAAGACTGGGAAAAATTTAATAAGCGTTCTTACAAAAACAAGTCAGCTTCAAATTACTTCTGTTTAATGCAACATCTTTTCAAAAGTAAAAATTTTAATACCTGTTCTGAGTCAATATCGCCAAGTAGTAAATCGAGATCAACAAATGTTTTATCAAAATCTTTTTCCAGCGCTTCTAACCAGTTGATTAATGGGCCGCCAGACGGGCGACCCAACGAAGCCGACATATTCGTTTTCTTCAGTTAATCACAATTTGCCCTAACTTCAGTTCACCAAACTTCTAAAAAATTAAGAAATTTTAATTCATTTCTTTTTAAAAAAAAA